TCCTTTTCATATTTCCCCCTTTCTGCTCATCCTCCACTCTTTCGTTCTTTTCATATTTCTTTCTCTTTTTTCGTCCATTCTTTCTGTTCCTCTTTCTTTTACTTTCGCTCTTTTTATTGCTTTTGTTTCATTTTTCTTTCGGTCTTTTCTGTTTTCGTTTTCATTTTCTTTTTTTTATCTCCATGTTCCTTTTTTTTTCGTTCCCTTTATCCTTCATTCATTTATTTTTTCTTTCTTTTCATCTTTAATTTATTTTTAAACTTTCACTTCGTTTCTCTCTTTCATCTTCGTTTCATTCATTCTTTTCATCTTTTATCATTCCTTTATTCGCTTTTCATTTTTTTCTTCACTTTTTCATACTTGTTTTATAAAATACTTTTCAGTTTTCTTTCTTTAAAGTTTATATTTCACTTATCTTATCATCTTTCTTTCTTTTTATTTTTCCAACTTTCTTTCATTTCATCATTCATTGATTTTTTTTTTCTATCAATCATTTATTCTGTTTGTCATTCTTTATTTTCGTCTTTTTTTTCTCCTACTTTACATCTTTATATTTTAGATATTTTTCATCTTTCTTTTCTTTTTATCTTTCTCTTTATCATTCACTCCATCGACCTTGCCTTTCATGTTTTTTTTTCATTCCTTCGTTTGCCTTTCTTTCATCATTCTTTCTGTTTCCCGCTTTTCTTTGTATATTTTCCTTTTTTTCTTCTATTTTTCTTTTCATCTTTCCTTTTTTATTTTATTTTATTGTTTTTTCACTTAATTCTTTCTTTCTTTTCATCTTTCAGTTTTCCATTCATTCCGTTCATCTTTCTTTCTTTCTGCGCTACCACATTAATCTAATCCTCCATGTTGTCTATAATTATTTTAATTCTGTCAGTATTACTCTTCCTTTCTCTCCATTTGTTCAACCCCTTCACCTTTCTTCTTTCTTGACCGCTTCCTCTCTTTCCTTTTCATCTCTTCTCTCTCTTCTTCACTGACTTTTTTTCAGACTCACTCTTTCTTTCTTTCTTTCTTTCTTTCTTTCTTTCTTTCTTTCCTTCCTTCCTTCCTTCCATCTTATCATCTGCAACTCAGGTCTATTTCTATTTTTTTCCTCTATCTTTTCCTCCCGTTCCTAAATCTAAATCATCATTTTTTTTTCGTTTTCTTTCTTCTTCCATTCTTTATTTATTCTCCCGCTCTCTCTCGATTTTACTCCCTCTTTTCTGCTTTACCTTTTGCTTTCCTTTATCATCCCCCACTACCCGTTTTAATACCCTTTCTCTTTCTATACCGCCCTCTGATTATTAATGTTTCTTCTTTTCTTCTCTGTTGATTTCGTTCTGTATTTACTTCCTCACTCTTATCCTCCACTCTCTATGTATCTTCACTTGTTTTTTTCTCTCTCCTTTCTCTTCATCTCATACTGATAATTTCTCTCCTCTTTCCTTTTCTCTCGTTATTTTGCAATGCCTTTCTCTCCTCCTATTTCTTGTATCCATCAAATCTGTTTTCTTCTACCCTTCTCATTCGATCATAATTCGTCATTTTCCTTTTTTCTTTTTACTCTTTTCATCAAATCATCCTTTAACGATTTTCTGTTTCCTTAATGCAAAAAAAAAATATTGAGAATAGATAAATTAAATAAAATAAATTATATAAAATAAATAATAAATAACAGAACCCGGTTCATAACAATTCCTTATTTATTGATAATCAATTGATTCGTTCCAATATTTCTTGTAAACAGTATTTTTCACTCGGAATCAGTCTTAACTTCTTGCTGAGTTGACAAGAAGAATAAAAAATAGCGAATATGGATGGGGCGGAGCTCGTCATTTCCGGTGACAACCACCGAAATCTTGCTTGAAGAGCTCGCCATTTCTACTCGGTCTTTTCAGTGGACATTAAAAATACGGCTTTGGCTTTTTTTTTTTCATCCTTGTAATAATTGCTCTCATGTTCGAAGAGCGTTTCTATTGCAAACTACCCACCATAACGGTTTTCAATGGCAAAAGTGCCCATAAATTCCTTCATCCTTCATTAAATCTATGTTTTTATTAGTTTCTTATTGTTTTTTTTTCTGCTCTCTCTTGCATTTACTTTCAAGAGCCGCCCTCTTTGTCTCTCTATCTTTTTCAAATTCAAACTGCTGTTTCTTTCTTTCATTATCTTTCGAATTTTCAAGTGTCGCCACTCTTTCTCTCTTTATACCATGCGCCCTCTTTTCTTTTCAAGCGCGTCTTTCTTTCTTTCTTTCTTAAATTCCTCCTCTCTTTATCTTAAATGTTCTCTCTTATTTTCAACCGCCCAATCTATTTGTCTTTCTTTCTCCTTCCTTTACATGCGCCTTCTCTCTCTAATTTTTAAGTGTCTTCAATCTTTTTTTTTCAGGCTTTCTCGTCCTCTTTTTCAAGCTCTTTCTCTCTATACCTTTCTCAGCATATTCTCTTTTTTCTTTTCTTTCTTTCTTTTTCATAACGCCTCCTCTTTTGACATTCTTCTTTCTTGATTTTCAGATCTTCGTCTTTTTCTAATCCGGGTCTTTTTTTATATTTTATTTCTGGATGCGTACTTCTTTAGTAGCAACTTTAACAACTTAATTGGTTTTGTTACCTCTTTCCCAATTATCTCAATATTTTTTTTTCAATTAAGTTTTCGCATTTTATCCCTACGTTTTTATTCCCGACTCCTTGTCCAGTTAGAACAGCACGGATATAGATGCATAAAATAAACTCACTTCTATGTCTTTTCCGCGACTTTAAAGGAGAAAAGCGTAAAGACGAATGGTTTTCGATAAATATTTTTGGCGAAGAAAATGTTACTCTCATTTGACATTTTTAAAAAAAAAAAAAAAAAAAAAAAAAAGGTGGAGTTTCGAAAGAGAAGAACCACTTGGAAATAATAAGAAAAATGTCAGTAAAACAAATAATAAAAAGGACAACAACAAAAAAAAAAACAACAACTGGAGAAGCTGATGAAGAAAATGGCGACATTCACTAAAGTTCTATAAAGATTAAACAGGGGACGAGGAATGCAAACGGCAACGCAAAAGCAGTAAAATTTTAACGGAAAGAGAATCGGTAAAGAAAGAAGAGGGCAGCACATCGCAGGTATTTCTGTTTTCTTCTTTCCGTTCCGATACATTTGTGTGTGTGATCGTCAAACCATTATTCGTTGACTTCTTTCCACCTTGTAAAGCGTAAATATCAAGCATTTCTGTCTCACACACCTAGACTTTGTGACTACATCAGCACAGTCATTGATTGGAAACTGAGAATGCACACACATACGTATTTTAAAGTAGCTTTAAAAAGAACACCAAGGCGAATTTTTAAGTCATGACTTTGTTGTTTTATTAACACCAATTCATAGCTAACTCGCTCGACTTCCGTCCTCCCGTTTGAATCCAGTTCCTTGTTCGGCTCGTTCCAATAAATCTTGTTTGCCACAGTCTTCAGTAGAAAAGACAGCGAGTGTATCTTGTTTTAAGTTCTGTAACATTTTATACCTCGCATCCAAGGTTTCTCGTCTCTGGTGCAGGAATTTAAGGATTTTTTCCTTTTTATATCTCAAATACAGGAAGGAGTGAAATGTTAAGTAGTAAAGTTCAGCAAAAAAGCAGTGAAATCGAAATTCAAAATTTTCTCTGAAAGTCATTTAACGTAAAGTAAATAAATAGAATTTGCAAACAAAAAATGTGGATCAAAAGATCTCCTTAATAAAAGGGAATTTGTTAGCCATAAGGGGTTTTGAATTCAGAAATGAAATGTCTTCATTATTAATTTTTGACTAGAATTTTCCCTGCTCCTCTAACTGCTTTTTGTTGCGAAGTTCTAAGTCTACATATCTTTTGACCGTCACTCATGCGTAATACACGCTTAAGCGATCAAGTATCTTTCGATACATGACTGTTATATTTAACAGCCCCCCCCACGAGGGATGTATGTGGCACAAGGCCGAGTTTACTGTGGGTTTTCAGAGCCCGTAGGCTCGTCTAAAAATATTCCCTTAGAACCGGTATAAACAGGTTCAGGGTCTGTCTACCTCTCCAGAGGAAAAATTTGCCCTTCGAAAAAGCCTCGTCCGGGTTCTTCTCTGCTCGAGGCAGAGAGTTCGACAGTTGAACAGTCTGTTCGACTTTCGATACATGACTGACAAGGCAGATTTTTTGCCATTTTTTTTTTTTTGCTATAGACCCATAGAAGAAGAGGATTTATACCTACGTAAATGAATGTAATGGATTCGACTGGAATTCGAACTCGGCTCTCCGATTACTCAATCCGTGCCGCTATCCATTACTCCACCGAAGGAACGTGAAATCAAAGATGTAATTCTCAACGAAATTTTAACACGCATATTATATCCTTATAAGTTTACCATACCTCCTGATTTGCCAGGTCTGTCCCAGTGATAATAGTTTTCATTTGGTTCTTTTTGTGTTTATGTGAGAGAGTTCGGGGTTATATGTATGTGTATGTATATATATATATATATATATATATATATATATATATATGGTATGCTATATTGTAGAAGTGTTCAATGTCAAAGATAGTGTATGTAAATACATAAGTGGACACTGAGGTAGGATGGCCTAAAGATAGCCTTCAAGCATGTTCCGCAATCATATAGAAGATTAGATACTACATTGAAGTCAAGATCTCTTTTGTTTATTTCTAATAACATTAACAATCTTGTAATGTTTTTTTTTCTTCAATTCTGCAAGGTATTTATCGCTATTGCTCTACCCCTTTGTATTTCTGTTCTACTTTCCGTCGATTGTTTAATCATAATCGACGGGTATCTTCACACTATGAACGGGATGCAATCGGCGTATGCACAACCCCGCTGACTGATTTGTTGTTTAATAATAGTTAAGAAATGGTTCTTTTGCTTAATTACAATATTTATTTATGTGAAATTACAGAAAATGTGGCACAAGGCCTAAAAAAAAGGGACTGGAAAAAGGACGGTCTTCATCTGTCTTAATTTTAAACTTAGCTAGCCACAAGCACTGACCCAAGTATACAAGCAATATTCCTAACACCAAAACAACACATTATTATTAGCCTTTCTTACTACATCCACCATAATACTTCATTGTCTCAATGAAAATCCTAAATAGTCCCCATATGTACAAATCGTCGTATGTGGGCGGGTGGGGGTGTTAAAACAACAAATTAAAAAGATCACCAATGAGTATATACAATATGAATTAATCTATTTGCAAGAAACTAAACAAATTCATCATTAATAATACCCCCCCACCACCACCGCAATAATTAAATGTGGCAGAAACATCAGATCACTGGACGAAATCAATGCCGGCCTATAAAAATATAAAGAAACATTCATTCATCCCTAGCACTGACACAGACACGCACTCATCCAGACACGACAACAGAAAACGAAAAAAACGAAAACCGCCCTTCATCCGCCAGAGAATTGACATCACTGATCACCTAACAAGGGTGGGGATGGGGAATTAAACTAAAAAAAAAAAAAAAAGATATGGACAGGAATAAAAGGGGCCAATGAGCAAACATACCCTAGCTAAGTTTACTGGAAAAAGGAAAAAAAACTAAGGATTAAAAAAAAAAAAAAACATTAACCTAATTTCGGGATTCTTTTACTTAATTATTACGCCAGTGAGTTTTGTTTCAGTGTTGATATAGTTTAGGCTGATTTTTTCTTGGATTTAACAAATGATTATATCATTTTTTTTCTTACAACGAAAGGTGGATTTCAGTTTTACATATATGAAAATGAAAGTTGACTGATTCTCCACACATGAATACTGATAAAACAATGTTCATCATATCACGACTGTTAAATCAGGAAATGAAACTAGTATTTATCTGTACAATAAGGTACAATATTGAATATAATACAAAAGCCGTATTTTAGAAACTTAGGATTCGTCACAAAAGGTGCTCACTCTCCCTCGGATTTTTTTTTTTTTTTTTAGTAGGCTTCAGGTACCAGAAATTGACTCTAATTTTCCCTCTTTATGTGCAATGAGAGTAGGGTGCATAGCTTCCACTCAATCTTATATTCTTCGGCAGCATTCGGGGGGTTGTTGTGAGGAAACAATTAAGTAAAACAGGAATTAAATGTCATTTCTCTGGCATCTGTTGTAATTTTAAAAGAATTTATGTATTATCAGGACGGAGCTGATAATGGTTCACCACATTTCCTTTCCGATATATATATATATATATATATATATATATATATATAATTTGGAGTTAAAAGTTAATGTTAACCTCTAGAGACTCTGTTATAAGCACTTTTACCCAAAGTCCGATTTTTAAGCCTAAATATAGTGGATCGTATTATACTAGAAAATTAAATACTAAATTTTTCCTCCGGTGCGTATCACAATATTCAAGACAATATGACTAAAAACAAAATAACAAAACTTAATTTTTAATGAAACTTGTGTTAGGGTTTTATGTCCAAATAAACTCACGCACACACATCTATCTATCTATCTATCTATCTATAGTATGCTACATTTATGAGTAAAGGTATTCCTTATCTGGAATAGAGCATGTGTAAATGTAACAGTGAACACTGAGGTCAACACCGAGTAGCAACAGTCTGTCTATGCTTTAATGCAATTTTCAAGCCAACATGAAACAGAATGTTGCTATTCGGTGTTGAACTCAGTGTCCCCCCCTCTCTCTCTTTCTAATATATATATATATATATATATATATATATATCATTGAATAATTTAAGCAAGTTTTGTGTACTTATTTTCAATTGGGTCCTTTCACATTCACGGACAAGCTTTTGGCGTCATTACAAAAGGAACAGAGAAAATGACAGTGTTGACACAGATTTATTCCGAGTTCTTTCGACATTAGCACAATGTCGTCATCAGGGTGATTTTTTTTTTTTTTTTTTTTTTTTTTCAAACAATTTTTGCACTAAACCCAGCGTTTTAAACTTCGAGTAAAAAAAAAAAAAAATTAACTTTCAAATGAACTCAGAAATTTTGTCTGTGAAAATGATAAATACTACATCTGCGGAACCATATCTCATTTTCCTCAAGTCTTTACTGTCTCATCTGTAAGGAAATTATGCAGCATTCACTACCATAGAGAAGTATTGATATTGCATAACATTTGAACACTCTTACCTTTTATTTCTAAAGAATTTTTTTTTCCGATTCTTAATACTTTTAGTTTTGGGAAGACATTTTCCCATATTTTAATGCACCTCCGAATTTCTTTATCATATCTTCTCGCATATTATTTAACACATCCCAGATAGTTAAATTTCTGTACTTTCTTGATTTTGACGTTTCCAATTTGTAGTTTGCATCTTACTATGTTCATTTCGCTAATAACTACACGATCTTCTTAAAATTCATGGTTAGTAATTTCATGTCGCTTTTTTTTTTTACGGCCAAATCTAGACATACTTGTTTCTTTCTTATCTGCAATCAACATGGTGTCATGTGCGTATTAGGTTGGTGCAAAAATAATGACGTAATAATGT